TTGGGTTGTTGCCGCCAAGGTCCACGTTCTGGTAAATCCTTTCGTCTTGGCTATGGTCACGGTGGTGCATGTTATCAGCGTCGTTCCGCGGCAGCCCATTGTACTCGGGGTTGTGATGGACTACGGCCTCATGCGGGCGAACCGGAGACAGGCGGTCTGTGTCGACGCGCTGCGAAGAGGGACGCGAATGGACTGGGACGTGGCGTCGGCATATGGCGAGTACGAGGCGGGCTTCGGCTGGTTGTTGGTGAAAACCAGTGATGCTGTGATCGCGAAGGCGATACCGACGAGCGATTTCTTTGAAAATTGGCGTTCGGGGCTGCTGGTGGGGTGGAACACGACCGGCTTCGGCATCTCGTTCGGGGCGGTTTTGGCGACCATGGGGAGCTGTCGGCCGTGCTGCCCCGACATCATGGCTGCGGGCACTGTTGACAGTCCGACCGACACGAAAACCACGCTTCCACGCGATACACAGCACAGTCAGGCCGATCAGGAAAAGGATGCCGACCGTTATGCCAGCTACAGTGTACGGATCTACGGCCAGTCCACGCTGCACCTCACTCCCTGCAAGCATACAAGGCGGACAGGTAGTATTACATGCATTGGACGTGGTGGTGTCAGTAGTGCTGGTGGTGGTAGTGGTGGAGACGGTAGTGCTTGCAGTGGTGGTGGTGGTCTCGCTGCTGCTGAAGTCGAAGCTGGTGGATGCCACAGCAGATGACAACAGCAATGTTGCGTTAGAATCAGTTAGAACATGATTTCCGCTGCCCCCGTCGCCTCTACTGTCATTATGTATGAATGTCAGCGCGTGCAGCGGAAGCCTGGCACTGGTGCTAGCGTTAATGAAAACTGGCGTCGGCGTCGTTGTCGTAGGCCATAACACCAATGGCGACCACAACGGAACCGTAGGTCTGAAGCCGTCACTGATGGCTTTGTTGACACCTTCGCCGTTGCACTAGGCCCTTGTGTTGCTGTTGTTATCGTGGTGGTAACGCTTAAGCTATGGGCAGTAGTGGTGGGGGTGGTGGTGAGCGGGCGAGGTGATGACGACGTTGTTGATGGTGTAGTCTTTCTCGAAAATCTAGTTGCTGTGAAAGGGGGTGTCACGAGGTTGCGCATTGTGGTTGACTGTTGCCAATGAGGAGTCGCTGTGTCAGGCGGCTGCATAACCACTGGCAGATCACTCACGAGCTTACTGCCACCGCCTGCCGTTGTTGTGGTGGTGACGGCGGTGGTGGGGGTGGTCAATGTCCATCGTCGTGTGGACCGGTGAGTGATAGCCGCTGCAGTGGACGGGAGCGGCGGCCGCGTCAACGGCAACGGTGTAGCAGTAGTGGAAAACAATAATGATAACGCTGCTGTACTTTGCCCCATTATTACTGATGTAGTATTGGCAACAGCCTCTGCTGCGGCAGTCACGCTACTAATATTGTATGTGTCGCCATCTGCTGCCGCTGACAAAGGTGTTGTTGCTGCTGTGGTCTTACCGCTAGCGTCAGCGCCGGTTGGAGTCATGGCCCGGGTGCTCGAGTCTCTATCCCGAGGAATTGCGGTGGTTGACCAAGACTCAGTAACCGTCGAGACCGGCGACTGAGAAGGCGGTTGAGCGGAAGTCCACGAACAGCATGGAGGAAATCCACATCCACTGCGTAAATCTGAAATATCCGTTAAAACAATTTTTGTTCGATTTATGTCATATTTATCAGGAAACTAGCATTCAATATAATTCTTTGACTGGCACATTCATAATAGGGCCTTTGCTGGTGCGTATTAACTGTTTCTACCTGCCGGGCAGCGGTTGGCGATAATTCGCAGTCCCAACTTCTCCAGACACTCCAACTCTCTACAGCGACGGGAACCGTCAAACACAGTCTGAGACAGAAAAATCATCTGCAGATCAGGGAAGTTGTGGGTTGGCGGCCAGTTGGGGAGAACGTTGACATCCGATCCGGTCATATCCAGCATCTGCACTCCCTTCACGATCGCGGTTGGCTGATTGTCTAACGGCCACAGATTTGCCTTGCTGTCGGAACATTTCCAAAATGTTTCACGGCAAACGCAGAAATAGGGACAGGGGATGTATGTTGCGGGACCGTGGGCATTTGCTAACAGAGGTTGCTGCAATGCAACGGCAGCACAAACTGTTATTACGGCTGCCGTGACAATTAACTGCGTAATTAATTGCGGCATCTTTACAAAAAGCTGCATAACATGCGCAAGTATTTCTCTTCGTAAAATGATGAAGATATGCACTGCATATGTGGCAGTCTTGAAAATGAATGCATGCATAATGGCGCGCTGGCGCTCACATTCTCACTCACCTCATCGTACAAGTCAACGTGTTAGCATATGAAATTCTGATAAGAGCAAAACAGCAACCGCAACATACAGGGCGCCTCTTAAATGGATAAAAATGAAAAATAACTGTAAACATTTGCAGGGTGAAGAGCATGGGAATAAATGCTAAATCGATTTCTTATCACTGATTGACTATGCACCGTGTTGCGAGCGTGAAGCAGATGTCCAGTGATGCATTCATGAATGCAAAGTGCATTCGGTGCATGCACGTGAGAGCGAATAGAGGGAGAGAGACTGAACCGCTGAAACTGAGCCTGCTTGCTGGCCGCCTGCTGGCTGCAATGTATAAGTGTACAAACAGAGAGCGAGAGAGAGAATGAGGCAAGACGAATTAGCGTCTGTATGCTGCAGCGCTTTATTCCTGTATAATATGCAGGTTGCTGCTATAGCGCGGGTTTTATATAAAACCCGGCCCGGGCGCAGGTTAAGGGCCAGGGGCAGTGCGCCCCTACTTATAACATTGGACGTATACGGTTACCGCCCGTCGGTGCCCCTGGGTTAGGGGCGACGTCAACAGCACCAGTTTGAGTACTATTCATCATACGTTGCCAGTCATTGCCTTGCAGTATACAAAATGTAGGCGCATCTTCTCGCTGTAGAAATTGATGTGTCACCGGAAAATTTTGCAGATATAGAGCGAGCTTTCTACAGTTAAGCGCTTTAAAATGACAACCATGGCATTTCAGTTAGATAACCATACTGTAAGTCCTTGACAGTTTCGCTGGCACCGGAAGGAGTGCGTGCTTTTGCTCCGCTGAATTTCCTAGGAATATCCAATATTTAGCTAGCAGTACTGCTGTTCATTTTCTTAGAATGGATAGTACAGATACTCGGAACCACTACCCGTAGATTCACTCAAGAAGGTTTGTTCGCTCATGATTACTAGTAAATAGTAATCAACAATGTAAAGCACGTAGCTGAACACTTCCGTTCACAGTACACTCTGGACGCTTGTAAAGGTGGTAATTGTAAATTGCTCAAACAATTAAACGAAGTGGCTGCTGTTCTATTCTTGCTTGTTGTCATCTTTGCTGTCGATCCTTCACCGTTAATTGGGATGGATTTTTCGTTTAGATGACGTTACTTAACGGCGTTGCCTGTTGTTAAACGTACTGACTGCAGTCAGTTCTCAATCACATGTACAGTAAAATTTTGTTTTCTAGTCATGGTTGTTAATACTTGTTATAGTCCACCGGACAGTTCGGTTCCAGTGAATGTTATACGAGGGTGAATGTTAAGAGTATTTTCACTGTTCTCGTACTAGAACGTCAATCGACAGATACATCTTTATATCGAAAGCTTTCGAGACAATGTGCCCCTTGGGGCCATCAGCTATCGCCATAATTAAAAAACTAGATAAATGGCTAAAACAGCATACAGGCGACATCCGCTAACATTAATTTTTCCGGGAACGATCACTGGAGATAGAGCGGGGCAGTGTGGCGCATCAATTCTTGCAACAATGGACCAGACTTGGGCCACCTTTGCGTTTTCCACTCTCCACCCACCCCACCTAACCCCACAAATTTTCCACTCCACCCGCCCCACCACGCTAAAAAAATGGCCCACCTCCGCCCACCAACGACTAAAGTTTCCACTGTCCACCCGCCCGCCCACTGGCTTTAAAAAATTTTTCGTCTGTTTTTATTGTGTATTTACGTTTTATTAATAAAATCCCCGCAACCTGACATACAGTACTCGGCTTATCTCCGTTTCGCAGCGGGTAAAGGAAAAGGTCAGGGCGATGCATGCGCTGGGTGCGGATGTTGTATACCACAGGCTGGGCCTCCATTCGCAGCCTTTTCCTGCATGTAAGTAGAAATGGAGGAAAAGCGGGTTTGGTGTAAATATGATCCTAAATGGTACTGTATCTGTAATGTCGTTTTCGTGCAAAACTGAAAAGGATCGGAGTACAATGATGTCGTATTTATGTAATACGCTTTAATATGATAATAACAGAGTAATAGCACAAAGTCTCAGATTCTCGTACCCAGCTGGTAATCGTACTAAATCATCAGTATTAACGCACACCACAACTCATGACCTTTTGCACTTAGCAACATCATACACTGCATAGTGCATCTCCTTCCCCCGATAAAAAAAATTATTTTGTATATCCGTAACGTATTGGCTCGACTCCCTTGTTCGCTCTCGCTGACACACGCAATGGAGGAGCAGGATTCGCTGTGGCAGGCACTGCCACTTGGGGAAGCTCTGCGTTCAGAGCAGGCTCCGGCTGTGGTCGGATGACAGGTTCCACTGTTGCAGGTTGCTCGTCACGCTGTGGCCTTTCCGATATCATCGCCTTTGGCACTGTTGGCGATGTGACGTCGTTGGGCTCAGCTGCAGTACGCCATTCACGTGGCCTGATCTGGTCTTCGTGGCGGAACCACTCTTGGCCATCAACGGTAACTGTCCACTGGCGGTTTCCTTTCTTTGACCGCAGCTGGCAGGGTGTCCAATGTGTTTTAGGACCGTGGCGGAAATCGCGTACTAACACCCGCTGTCCGCCATGGAAGTTTTTCTCTTTGGCATGCTGATCGAAATTACGTTTATGACGGTCCATGTTGGCTTGCCGTGTCTCGTTAGCGTCTGGATGTACCAAATCCAGCGCTGTGCGCATTCGGCGCTTGAGGAATAACTCATCGGGCGAACTTCCGGTGGTGGCTTGCGGTGTCGTACGATACCTGAATAGGTATTTCCGCAGTGCGTCGTCGATGTTGGCATTGTTGTCTGCCAACAACGCCGACATACCGCTCCGCCTGCCCGTTCGATTGCGGGTGTCCAGGCGCCGTGCGCAGGTGCGCAATCCCGTTTGCTTTGCAGTAGTCTGCAAACTCGGCACTGGTGAACTGCGGCCCGTTATCCGTGACCAGCTGTTTTGGGTATCCATAACGGCCACATAAATGTTCCAGCACGGCAATCACGTCGCCGGACATTGTACGCCGCATCTTGACGACTTCCGGCCACTTCGAGAAGCTATCCACAATCACGAGAAACATCTCGCTGTGGAACGGGCATGCGAAGTCCATGTGCACACGCTGCCACGGATTCTCGGCAACTGGCCACTGCTGCAAGTGCACTTTCGCCGTCTCTTTTGCTGCCATCGTGCAAGCAGGGCATTTCTTGGCCAGCCGTTCGATGTCGCCGTCCAGTCCAGGCCACCAGAAGTGACTTCTGGCTTCCGCCTTCATCCGCACCACACCAGCATGTGTAGCATGCAGATGTTTCAGCAGGACCGCTTGGAAGGACTCCGGAATGACCGTTCTCGCTCCCCACAGGACACATCCAGCGACCACTGACAGTTGCACTCGTCTCCGGTTGTACGGCTGAAGTTCCGGTGGTGCCTTCTCTGGCCATCCCTTAAGGACCAAGTGACGACACCGAGCCAGCACGCGATCTTTGCCAGTTTCACTAGCGATTTTCTTCGCGTCCACCGGTGTCTCACTCAACACGTCCATTTGGACAGCATGGATGGCTTCGTGCATTCCCAAGTCGTTGGGATAAAAGATGTCCTTCGAGTGCAGGGGCAGCCGGCTCAATCCGTCAGCCTGTCCGTCGTCGGTGGACCGGTACTCGATGGTGAAGGTATACGCCGTGAGTGCAATGCCCACCGCTGGAGGCAGTTGGCAGATACCGCAGGAATCCCAGTCTTCCGGCCGAACACCGTGACCAACGGCTTATGGTCAGTAAGGAGTGTGAACTCCCGACCCGGCAAGTACTGGTCGAACTTCTTCACACCGAAGACTGAAGCCAACGCCTCTTTCTCTATCTGCGCGTACCGCTGTTCAGTCTGCGTTAACGTCTTTGATGCATGGGCAATGGGCTGGTCTTAACCGCTCGGTCCGCTGTGGCTAATGACAGCTCCGATCTCGTATTGCGAGCATTTGCGACGCATCCGGTGCGAGCATTTGCGGCTTCGCAGGATCGTAATGCACCAGCATTGTGGCCTGTGCCAGCTCCGCCTTCAGGCTGCGGAAGGCACCATCACATTTTCGTGACCACTCCCACTTGACGTCCACTTTCAGCAGGGCGCTGAGGCAGTGCGTCTTGGTCGCCAGCTGGTGCATGAACTTGCCGTAATGGTTGATCATTCCAAAGAGGATCGCACCTGGGCGACGTCCACCGGTGCTGGCATCTCCATGATCGCGCGAATCTTCGTTTCGGAAACATGTCGGCCGTTTCTGTCAACCACGAACCCCAAGTATTCTACCGATAGCTGGAGGAAATTGCTCTTCTGCTGTTTCAGGGTGAATCCTTGCGCTTCATTCGTTCGGCTACTTCGGCCAGATTCGCAAGGTGCTCCCGCCGTGTTCTGCCTGTGATTATTATGTCGTCCATGTACACGGCGACGTAAGGGATGCCATTCAGCAGTTCTTCCATCATCTGTCAAAAAATGCTGGGTGCTGCAGCCACTCCGAACGGCAGTCGGGTGTAGCGATACAGTCCGCAATGCGTGTTTATCGCAACCAATTCACGGCTCGGCTCGTCTAATGGCACCTGATGATATGCATCGGATATATCAATCGTGGTGAATTCCTCACCGGCATTGAGTATGGCGAACAACTCGTCCGGCAAGGGCAGTGTATACCGCTGCACATCCAGGGCGTCGTTGAGCATATCCGCACTGCTCCGCCTTGCTTCCGCACCACTACTATTGGCGCCGCCCATGCCGATCGCTCGATCCGTTCCAGGACGCCTAATCTCTAAAGGCGTTCAATGTCCTTCTCCACGGGCTCTCGTTGCGCAAAGGGAACGGGACGTGGCTTGCAGTACTTTGGCACTGCACCAGGCTTCAGGTGCAGATGAGCCTTGAAGGTTCGGCAGCATCCAAGTTCTTCCCGAAAGAGATTTTTGTTCTCTGTCAGTATGGCTTCCAGTGACCTTTCCTGTTGCACCTGACCAATCGCCAGTTCTGACATCTTGTGGTTCTGGAGGTTAAATGCTTTGATCCAGTCCCTGCCAAGGACGTTGCTGCCTTCCTCCACCACAATCAGTTCCATTGACCGCTCTTCACTGCCGCCTTCACAACGCACTCCGACGTAACAGGCTCCAAGGACAGGGATCTCGTGTCCTGAGAAGCTACGGAGTTTCGCGCCACATGGAAACAGATCCGGTCGCTTCAGTTCGATCCGCATCTTCCTGGTCGCAATGGTCTTCACCGATCCCGTGTCCAGCTCGAATGCAACTTTCCGTCGGCAGACCGTTAAGTGCACCATGATGGGATCACCTTCGGCAGTGGTTGTGTTCAGTACGTCGTATACCCCTTCAACTCGGCCACTGCGTCGCTGGGCTCCTCTTCTCTTTGCCGCTCCGGATCTGCAAACTTTCGCAATATGTCCATCCTTACCACATTTCCGGCAAGGCTGATTGCGAAATTTGCAGTCCGCTTGATCATGATTCGTCCCACCACATCGGTAACAGGCCTTCGTCTTCCGTGGGCTCGGCTGTCTAGCATTGCCTTTTCCTGCCTTCCGGATGACCTTTACCGTGGGAATATCCTCCTCCAAGTTATTGTTCATCTTCGCTTGCTCCTGTCTCGCTTCAAACCTTCTGGCAAGCTGCAGCGTTTCATCAAAAGACTTGAGTTCCTGGAACATCAGGTGTCTTCTCGTCGCATCATTGTGCACTCCCGCAACAAACACAGCGCTCAGTAGATCCTCCAGGATGCCTCCCGGGAATTTACACGTATATGTTCTGTTCCGTAGTTCATTAGAAAACAGTACGAGCGACTGGCTAGCTTGCTGACAGGTGCGAAAGAATGTAGCCCATTCAGTCTTCTAATAGGTCACCTTGATGTATACCGTAATTATCGAATTTTTGGCTCTCCCCGCAATAAGAGCCCCTGTAATAAGCCCCCCTCCCCGACCCAGTTTGAAAAATAAGGCCACCCCCCGAAATTACGCCCCAGGGGGCCGTTAATAAATGTCAAGCGCTGCTAAATGATTTATAAATGATGATGCAAATGCTTTATAAAAGTTGTTGTGATTGTTAGCAAACCTTAAACGGATATCAACATAATACGGTATTCGTGGGCAAAAAGGTGTATAGGGATCTAAGTTTATGCTCGAAAATGTTGCTGGGTTGGTTGCGCTGTTGCGTTTACCGGTAGCTACTGCGGTCAGTTTTACTAGACAGGGTGCGCAGTTGTTTGAAATATCATGCCCCCTCCCAGAATATACCGTTCGAAAAATAATTCCACCCCCCGAAATTGCACCCTCTCCCCGAAATAAGCCCCCCTCCGCCATAGCCTTCGAACTATTTGTACCCCAGGGCCACAAATTCGATAATTACGGTATGTCGTCGAGTTTCTTCAGCAGCTCATCATACGAAAATTCGGTTGGCTTTCGGTCGGCAAGCGCTGACAACATCCTGGAAGGCGCGAAATTCCAGGTTGTTGATCAGCACTTCCTTTTGCTTCGCAGCTGTAGTCTCTGTGAGGGACAGATAGTTTTTGAGGAGGGACTTCCAGGAGGTCCATTCAATCTGATCCGGATTAAAACGGATCAAGTTCTGGGCTTTTTCTTTCCCGGCAGTCATTGGGGAAGACACTGGGGAAGTATCAGAAATCGACGTGGATGTATCGACCGATCCGGGCATACACTCGCATGAGTAATACCGCCTTCACGCCAATGTCGTATATGTAATACGCTTTAATATGATAATAATAGAGTAATAGCACAAAGTCTCAGATTCTCGTACCCAGCTGGTAATCGTACTAAATCATCAGTATTAACGCACACCACAACTCATGACCTTTTGCACTTAGCAACATCATACACTGCAAATGAGACGGTTGGTACACCTCCGCGCGTTTAAGTAATTTTTTGGAATTTTTGTTTCACCGATTATCTGCCACGTTCTAGAACATGTATTCGAATTTTGTACCACGTACCGGCCCTCTTTCCTAAGCATCAATGGCTGGAAACGGAAGACAATGTGAGTCATGCTGCATAGGTTAAACGGCCTTCATCCCGACGGCAGTCCGAAGCGCTGGGATGGTGTCGACCTGCGACTGCTGGACGTTTCAGTGCTGAACAAGCTAACCTTCGCCGTGCTGGATGCTTATTACAAAGATTAACGTCAGGATTAGCGATTTTTCTTCAGCGTGTGCAGAATAATTAATAATAAAAACTGATAATTATGCCTTATGCTGGATCGGGGTGGCACTAAATGTTGGTGTGTGTTGACTGCAACTTCCTTGTTCGCTTCGCAATTCAAGCGATGTTGCGCAACTGCCATTTTCTGATTTTTCTCACCTTCGCGATCGTGCGAGCTGGCAGCTTTAAAAATTTTTCCTGCTTCCAGAATTGTATTGCTGTAATTCAATTTCATTGCGGGAACAGATAATAGTACTTAATACCAAGCGTGAAATGGAGTTCTAAATGGCTTCCTGCCATTGGGGTGCGCGAGTGGGTTGTTGAGCCCCAAGGAAGGACAGTGTTTCGGCACCGCGACATTTCGCCGCGGACAACTCGTCGCATGACTTTTGGTCGCCGACATTTCGCCGAAAGGTCATCTTGCCTTGCGACGTTTCGTCGCGGGACATTTAACCGGCAGGACTTTACGAAGTGAGATATTTCGTCACCAGGCCGTTTCGACGCCGAGGCATTTCGCCGCAGGGTTGTTTCGACGAAAAGCCCATTTTAGCACATAAATTTTTTATCAGGATTATTGAAACTGACAGAAATACCTAAGAAGAAAAATTATAACTCAAAAAAACTAAGAAAATACGTAGGCCATACACCATAGGAAATCCCTTAAAATAATCTAAGAAACCTAAATCACCTGAGCATTACCCAAGAATAACCTAAGAATAATTTAGAACAACCTAAGAAGCCTAAAAGATCTAAAAAAACCTCTCAAGAAACTCGAAAAACCTGCGAAAATTAAGCGTGTCGACTGCTTTTACGGCGAAGTGTCCGCGACCAGATGTCGCGCATCAAAATGTCTCAATGCTAATTGTCCCTAACTGAAGTGTCCAGAGTCAAAACGTCCCGCGGCGAAATGTCTTCGCGGCGAAAAGTTATGCGCCGAATTTAATTGCGGCGAAATGTCACACTCCCAAATGTCCGGGTGCGCAGTGTTTCTTAGCTCGCATGCAGTTCCTTTTCACCATACTAACAAGCAAGTTCTCTGTTTTGACTGGCTTATGCTAGTAAATACACACATACAAAGAAAATAAATAAAATAAAAGTAAATAAACAGTAAACAAATAAAATTCTAAAAGCTAGTAGATAACTAAAAGGGCGCCTACTTAAAGAGACCTGCTGCGCTAAACAGCTTGTATACTTTACTGTACTCACCTGGTCAGTATATAGCGCGTAGCACCACTGACAAGGGAGTGCGCTAAGCAATTCTGAGCGATTAAAGAAAAGTGATTGAAAAGGTGTTCCAGAGAAACTTCTTAATCGCTCGAGTTTTTAATCGGTCTGCTACAAACCGATTAAAGAAATTCGCGAATTTCTTTAATCGGAAGTGTCTGGTAGTGATTAAAAACTGACTGTATGAGGTGGCTTGAAATCTACCCTTAGTAGCGCTCTGAGTCCGAGTTCTGAGTCGAGCCGCTTCTGGTAATTCGTAAAACTCTTAATCGCTCAAGTTTTTAATCACTTTCTTTAATCGCTTTTGGTGCTTAGCGCATTCCCCTGTGAATCTTAACAAACGAATCTTCGTCAAATGCTGCTAGAGGGTGCAGTGTCAAGAAGATAGTTCAGATAGTTTCTCTCTCGGCTGTGTCTGATTACTGATTAGCCAGCGGACTCAGTATGTGACGTGCAGCGTCTGTAGGCAAACTAGGCTGCCACCTGTCAGTTGCTCTGAGGATTATTTCTATTACCTATTAATATTTTTCTATTTTTATTTGCGAGATCTATTTTCGCTATTTTTCCGATTGTTCCATAGTTTGCGATATGTAAGCTTTAAGCGCCGAGGTTGCGAATTAGCACGTTTGCAATATACCTAGTATCCACATACGTTTTCTTGAATGCAACCATGTGCAGCAACAAAATGATATCGTCTGATTGTTCGGGCTCGTCGATTTCCTGTGAGGTGTATCCTGGCACCGACATCTATCAGTGGAACGCGGTGGATGTGCAGAACCCCAAGGGACTCCTCGAGCGCGGCCTGGTCATCAACACCGTCCAACTCGGTCTGATCGTGGATTTCGGCGTGGCCGGTCGACGCTCGCAGTTCGTCGAATTCAAAAAAGCGCTCCACTGTCTTAGCTCGCGGCAACAGCATTTCGCTCCCTTCGACGACTGGGACGCCGAGTACTTGTGGGGACCGACCACATTCGTGCCACCGACCGCCTTTGAAGTACTGGCGCGAACGGCCGCCGACCGCCCGTGGACGTGGTACCCGGCGAGGTACTTGGTGCGCCGGGTTCTTTGGAATAAATCCGCCTATATTCGCATTGAGCTAAGTGAGGGTGTCGTGATCAAATACACCAGCGCTCTCGCGGTTCGTCTGACGAACCCCGGTTGGGAGATGCGCGTTGTTCGAAAGGGGCACTACGTTACACGAGCGTGCACCCTGCCGAGCGAGCATCGATCGGGAAAGCCCATGGAACCGGTTTTGTGGAGCTTGTGGGTGGAAGCGCTGATGTCGCGGCTCGCCTCCGTCGCGTACCCCATTTGTGTACAGTATGGACGTCTAGTATATCTTCAGGAACGTGATGCGCAGGACAAACCGATGCCCATTTCAGACCAGGAGCTGGTATGCTACACCGTTAAACACGGTGAAATAAGCACTTGACTGTTACACCCCGGTGAAATTGTATACTTATCACTTTAATTTTTTTGTTTTCTTTTATATGATTGTTGAGCTATGAACTGTAGCCGCGCAGCGTTTTTTGGGTAGGGGGGCGTGGTTATCAGAGTCAAAAACCCCCAGAGGAGGGTCTGAATTTAAAAACTGTTATTGAAACAATTGGAAAAAGCTTAAAATAGCGTTTAAAAATATGTAGTAAAAGTCTCAAAGAGAAAAAAATTATTGATAAAAATTTACACCCCTCCCCCCACCGGGCGGCTTTCAGTCCTGCTCCTTTTTGCGGTCAAAAATTCGAACTTTAGTTTCTTAAAGCAGCTTCACAAAATACGCTGATTAACTAAAATATAAGTGGTTTAACCGGATCCGATGCGACCGCTTGTGCCTCTGATTCATAGGAACGGCTAAATGACACGACCAAAGCACGGATGGCCGGGCGTCTGCAGACCGGCTGGATCTTTAACGTTGATAAGTGGAGACCGCCCAAAATCCCATTGGGCATCGGTGTTCATCTGCATGCCGCACCGGCCCATCTGGCGCCCCAAGAAGCCGCAACATTGTTACCGGAACTATGGCGCGAGATTCTTTCCTGTTTCGGTATGAATGAGCAGCCGTTCTACCGTCGCGTCTGCCCGCTGTGGAACACCGTCCTCACCCCGGATCACACCAGCCAACACTTGACGCTCAACTTTGACAGCGCAGGCAGGCTAGGCACATTAGCCTCTTCGGTGGGGCTCTGTGTCATTCAGTATTTAACCGCTGCCACGGAGATGATCGTTATTACCAATGCCACACAGAGCAGCTTGCTGCAGCAAACTGAGTTCACGGACTGCCTGCGCTTGATCAGCGCTGTGTACCAGCAACGCGGTGATCGTCGGAGAAAACTGCAGGTACATTCCGACATAATGGTATTATACACCGGGAAAGTGCTGACGTCAACGATTACGTTATTCGAATCTGGTGATGATCTTTTGAGAGGAAAAAGGTCATCCAACGAGGCTCGCATACAATACCATTATATACTGTTTAGCCATTGGTTTTGTGGATTTCACCGCTTTCGTTTATTTTAATTTTTTGTAGTCTCTAACACCTAAAACTAACCTAAGAAATCCTAAGAAACTTGAGATACCTGATACCTAACCTAAGAAACCCTATGAAACCTAAGACCCTAAGAAAAGAAACCCTAAAAAACCTAAGCAAAGAAACCTCTAAGAAAACCTATGAAACCTGAGAAGAGAAAACCCTAAAAAACCTAAGATAAACTAAGAAACCTAAGAAAAGAAACCCTAAGAAACCTCAGAAAACTTTGAGAATGTTGGTAAAAGACTATATACAAGCAACATACGGCACGACCGTTGGATGACCTCTTCCTCTCAGAAGATCATTCCCATTCGACTCAGAAAAAAAACTTAGTCGAATGACGTCATCGATATGACGTCATAGCTTTCCCGGTGTATAATACCATTATGCCGCTATGACGTTACCGGTTTATTATGGCACACATTATGCGGTGAAATTAAATCAAACGCAGTTTTTAC